AACTGCCTACAGCACCTGATCTAATAATTCCTACTAGTAATTAAAGTTTTTGTTTTTACACCGAGCCAAAAAGAAACCATGAAATTTCAAATTTGTCAGATGCAAATTTGTTGTGTAATATTATTAATTGCATTGCAATTTTGCAAATAATTTGTCCTCAAAAATGCTCTACAAGACTAGTCTTACTAGATCATTTGTTCAGATGTGACAAATCAGGAAAATTGAAAAAACTGAGCACGATCCCAGAAAATAAATCTGTCTGGTAGGTATGAACAGCTGCATAAAGAACAGGTGGGTCCAAAAAATATTTTCAACACACAACATATTTGCATGAATTTTATGTATTCTGGTGTATAAAGGCCTTTGGTCTTTAGTTTATGAGGAAAAATAGCAGCCATCAAAGCAACTGTACGCTCAAAGCTCAAGGAGCTGCTGCTGGCACATTTCAGTGCTTTGCACACACAGGGGTGGCGGTTCTAAAAACAACACTCAACAACAAGATCAGACTGGAGGTTGAGTGGTTCAGGGAAGCTCTCACCACCCAAAAAACTTTGGTGGTTGCTATAAAGAAATTTTGACCTCTTGCCATACCTCCATTTGCCTTGTTGTTAGCTCAGGAAGAGGAAGGAGAAACTGATGAATTGGACTTCAGTCACCTTCTGTCCCAGCAATGTTCCTCTGAGTTTTCATTACATGACCTCACCCAACATTTGTTATCAGTCATTAACAATAAAAAATTATCTATGCTGAGTTTTAATGTAATAAAGGTCAGCGCGATAGCATCAGCAAAACCTTTTTGGTTTGTTTTCCTCTATAAGTCATTTTCATTGAACTTAGTTTAACACCCTCCCCTCCCTGATCATGCATGAGCCCACTAACAGTGAAGATCTACTGTGGCAACTGGTATTCAAGTACATCTCTTACAACGGTTATCATCTGCATGCTGCAGCAGTGCAGGTATTTTTATACCTGCACTGCTGCGAGGTGGAATTTATTAACTGTTAAGGTTATAATGGAACCCCCATAATTTTAATGGCCAAGTTATAAAATAATTCACCCTCTGTACTGTCACCATGAATGAAAAAATAGGTACAGAGACCAAAAGTGTTTCTTGTACCGGGCTGTAAACTACATTGGACATTTTAACTTGCTAGTTTAGTCGGATTGGCTCGCTTTGGGTGCCAGCCTCAAGTGGCCATTAGAGGTAATGCACTTTTTGGCACTTCTACAATCTTTTTAAATCAGTTCTTTGTGTTCTAACAGATCTATTGCAATGCTAATAATTAAATAAATTAAAGCCTACTTATAAGGAAAAGGCCTCCCTTACTACATTTATTTATATTATCTGTATAGCACTTTAGAGCACACCTTTCACTTTATCAAAAGCACCTTATCAAGCATTTTATTCAGCATCACACTTCAAGCATGGATTTGCACAGTAAAACATTTGCACACAAGAAGTTTAATTATTTATTGAATATTTATTGGGAATTTTAAAATCAGTTGGTAGCCCTGTTTCAGATCCTGCACAGCTGCTCCTCATCAAGCAATGTGTTGGTTGTCTGTGAGGAGAAAAGAATGGTGATTGAGATTGTGATTAAGGTTTACCAGTAAGGAAAACTAACGCAAATGTGCGTGTGAAATCTAGGATTAAAAGTGGTGCAAATAAGTGTTTGTAAGATATGATTACTCACTTTTCTTGCCTGTGTCCTCTTCAAGGTGTTTGGGCAAATGTTTCACTGGGGGGTTCAGACACCATATGAAGGTTCCGGGAGAGACCATGGGCTGAGAGTGTGGTGAATCTTTTTGTGCTTGGGTTTTTATAATATTGGGTTTGGTGTAAAATTAAAGTGTGAAAGATTTATTAATATAAAAATGTGCAATGTATTTATGTATTTATTTATTCAAATTGATATATTGTATACTGTGAGTGGAATAATGGTTTAGTCTGTGACCGGTTGTCATTAGAGAGGGTTGATTGTGCTGTGAAGAAGCTCGACGAGTGAATTCTTTGTAAGGAGAGCTGTATGGCAAATAAATACTTTTTGTTCAGAGGTTTTATCAAGATTTATCAAGTTGGTCTTCCTACAAACTTTGTTGTCCAGAAGTGGCTCTTTAGCCTTTTCCTATTTGTGAATCAGGCAAGAATACTGAATCTACATCCTAATCAACTGAGCACAGAGTGTTGCAGTGGTGTACCTGCGCCTGCTTATCCTCCTGAGGTGTCTCCTTCCCTGCTCCATTTAGAGCCACAGCCCAGCTCGGATCGATCCCTTTCTCCAGCCGCCCGTCATCAATTATTCACCTGATCAGCACTGCTGCTCATTAGATGACTAATCTGGGAGGAGTGAAGAGAGATGAGGTGCTTTGAAACCTGAGACCAAGAGGCAGCAGGGAAGGAAGGGAAGGGTTGGGTCACATCTCCACATCGAGAGGAGAGAGATGGAGGGAGAGTTCATAGATGTGGGATTACCAATTTGTTCGCCTAAGTCCTGACATCCAGGAGAGTTTATAAATCTTTGATGAAACCATAGAATCACTTTGATGAACGTGCACATGGATCACCAACACGGCACACGTGCTGACAGAAGCTTCACGGGTGTTGGCTTATTGAGACAGAGTGGCAGCAGAGCGTGCGTCGACACTGAAAACTGAGAAAGTGGGAGTGGAGCCGGCCAGAAAGATTGCATGTTGCCCTGTCATTACACCCCACCTTAGCTGTTCACGAGAACATCTGTGGTCAGCGTGGGTCACATTTTTACTGTCCTATAAATCTCCCTCGGCTTTCTCCCGGTGACGCCAGTTGTTATTCCAAGTCTTCCTGCCTGTTGTTTTGTGCTCTTGTTTCGACCCAGCCAGGCATCCACATCAGGGTCAGATGGAAGAGAAACAGGTACACACACCAACTAAGTACATAAGTGGATCAATGTGTCCAATATGAATAGGATTGAAAAAGCGCTGTTTAGAAGCCGCTCAACCTCAACACTTCCAGGATTGTTAACGGAGGTTTTGCTCAAAAGCCCGAAGAAAGAAAGAAAGAAAGAAAGAAAGAAAGAAAGAAAGAAAGAAAGAAAGAAAGAAAGAAAGAAAGAGGCAGCCCCTAGCTCTCCTCCTTTCCCACTGATCATATACAAGCAAGGTTGGGGTAGGTGTGTGTGTGTGTTGTGGGAGGCGGGGGGTCGTGGGGGAGGGGGTGGCTTTGATCTCCCCTGTCCCCCTGAGAGCCACAGTGAGGTGGGAGTGCGCCGTGATGGCTGTGGTGTGCGTTTGATTAAAGGGAAATATGCATCAGCGTACAGCGCTTTCCTTTTTATCTGCGCCTGCGATGTGGTGCGATGGTGACGATAATGTAGCAATGTCGCAGCTCTATCTGTGTTTCCACCCAAGCTGAAATCCACCTGAAGTCAAGTGCTTGTAAAGCAGTTTGGAGAAGTTGAGGCACCAATACAAAACCTGACAGAGGCTGTCATTGTTTTGTGTTGTTTGTTTGAGTTCGTAGCGGCCGAATCAATTAGAGCCCAGGACCTGCATTCCACACCGGTGTGGCAATGGGTAGCATGGCTAGGTCCCAGGACACATCAGAGACAGTTTGAGCCTGGCAGCATGCAAACTACTATAACGTCAGCATCTCTGTGTTGTGTGTGAATTTGTCGTCTAACAAAGCAGGCAAAGGGGTAAAAGATGGAGATCAATACTCATGACTGGAAGTCCAAAAGCTAGAAGCGTTTGCACACATGTATCTGTAGAGTACATCAAGACTCTAAAACAGACAGATGAAGAGTCTGCTGGGAGGGGAGGAGCACTGAGGTAAGGCATATGCAGGCTCACAAACGCTTTTTGGGTAACCCACTTTACTTGACCTTTATATCCATACATACGTGCATGTTTCCAAAGAGAAATATCAATTAATGTCATTGTCTAAATCTCTTCTGGTGAGTATCCTGCAATGCCTCTCTGCTGTTTTTGCTCCAGTGCATTCCTGTAGAACGGTTTCAGGCAATTAAAATCAGTTTCATTATTTATGTGATCATCTTTGCAAAACTTTTGACATTCCCATCAGTGTCAGTTTTAGTTTGGGATTAGTGCTAATTAGCAAATATTAGCATGTCAACACATGTAAGATTGTGACAATAGTAAACATGCATGCAAAACAGCACGTTAGCATATCGATGGCAGTTCTGAGCACTGAGCCCGTGTCATGCATGACTATCTTGTCACCAGTGCCGATGTTTTTCACGTGCAGCCGGCTGCTGGTGAGGTGCCAGAGGTAGGAGCTTAGCAAAATGAACAATGTCTTTTCCAAACAAGTGGTTTCAAGCAAAATCAATCATGACCTTTCTAAAGCTGAGATTTTGGGTTCTGTTTTCAATGATAACCCCGGTAATCATGTCAGGGTTTAGAGCTTTTCAATTCAATTCAGGTTTATTTATACATTGTAAGGTAAAGACCCTGCAATAATACAGAGAAAACCCCAATGATCAGATGACCGCTTATGAGCAAGCACTTGGCGACAGTGGGAAGGAAAAACTCCCTTTTAACAGGAAGAACCTCCAGCAGAACCAGACTCAGGGATGAACTGTCAGCTATGACCGTTTGAGGGTGATTGGAGGGAGACGGGACAAGAGACAAGTTGAGGCACCAATACAAAACCTGACAGAGGCTGTCGTTGTTTTGTGTTGTTTGTTTGAGTTCGTAGCGGCCATGGTGTGGAAGCAGGGTTTTAATAGTTTTTCAATTTTCATTAGTTTTTATTTTTATTTAGTTTTGACTTCAGATTTTCAATTTTATATCAGTTTTAATTAGTTTTTACCAATTGTTTGCTAGTTTAGTTTAGTTTATATTTTTTTGAAAATCCTTAGTTTCAGTTTGGTTTTGATTAGTTTCAGTTATAGTTTTAGTTGTGTTTGCAATAATTAAGTGTAACAAAATCCCAGTTTCATCATATCAGTCATTCTCTTCTGCTTATCCTTGGGTATGTTGCTATTCCAGCTACCATACCCTGCACCCTGCACAGGTCGCCTGTCTGTCCATTATTGTAAAGAGCTAATGTTAAACCTTCAAATACACAGTGGGTGGCATCATGGCGGCTCTGTCCATTGTTTTCAAATACAGTCTATGCTTCTTACAAGTTTAGCATTCTGAACTTTAACTTTTCCTGAGTTACTAACTGTTTAGTGAAAAAAAGAAGAAGAAAAAAACGTCCACACACACACACAGTGTCCTGAACAAAGCATATTTTTATTCTCATAAACATCAGGTTCTTCAGGTACATAAACAGCCACAAGCACGAACACTTTCAGTCTTTTGTTATTTTTTTTGTTTCTGACAGCCAACATATCATGTGAGCCAAACACATTACATCGCCTAATGTGAGATTTTTCACTTTCTGACTTTTGCTGACAGTCATACACGCACGTATCTGAGGAGAGAAGAGACTGACCCTTAAGCCTGCCACTTCCTGGTTTGCGTTGAGGGCTTGAAAGCGAAGAACAAGTCACCGATGAACACCCAGACACATCAGAGTACTCTCTCAGTGCTTTGGCCTTCATTCAGTCCCATGTTTGTGTCAGACACATAAGGACAGCTCTACATGGCTTTTTGTTGCCAGTGCTGGCAATGATATATGCATCTTGTTTCCCCTCCTTCACTGACAGAACAAAGCAGCTGATTCACTAGTTACTCTATGTAAATATATATATATTTATTCTCATTATATCTATATATTCTATCTATAGAATAAGTCTATGTAGTATATATATACTTTTGGTAGGTCTTTTAAAAGATTCAGGTACATTCACTTGACCCTGTGATTTTTTTCTTTTCTTCTTCATATGAAAGATACATACAGACAGACGTTAACAGAGCTACTGTGCCCCCCAACCAAGAGCAAGACATTTAAGCACCCCCACCCCCAAAAAAGAAGCAAACACAACAAATGTCTCAGTGCTGGTTCTTTAAGGACCAATAACAAGCATAAATATTCTCAGAGACCTCTTTAATAATCTATATAGTATAAAATAGCATATTTTCTGGACTTGACAACAGTTTATATTAACTCTATTCAGAGTCTAGGTGCACACAATTCCACAGGTGCGTACATGAGCTGGCAACAACAGGTAGGCGATTCAATGGTTTTGCGTATTTACTAAACTGATGGTATTCTGTCAGTGGTTGAAAAAGCTTCAATGCAAACCTCACTTCTACAATCACAAGTGTGAATAGACCCTTGGCATATCACAGAATACACATATAGGCATTAATCGACAAGTCAAGAAGATAGAACTCGGCTTACTGAGGACCATACCAATGATAAGTCACGTTACGCATGAACACCAACATTTTTTTCCGGGTTTTTTTTCTCAGAAGGCCACAAGGATGTCACTTGGGTGCTGGTTAAGAAAAGTGTTCCTTCATGGGTCCAGGTGGATAATGAACCCCAATACTGCCCTTAATCGGACTCTGTTACACGAGCAATACTACACTGAGGATTGTACAGTTACAGAACACTTTTAAACTGTTATGACGCAAAGGCCAGTGGTTAAATTGTCAGCCACTGAGATGGTACCCAATGAACTACTTTTAATTCAGTCGTCCCCGAATAAAATGATCTCCTCAATGCTCTGTTGTAGTATCTAGCCATGCAGACCTGGTAGCTTGAGTCATCTTTAAGATTTCTGACTCTATCCTGATAAATGGAGGTGACTAGAATTCGTTTGTGCTCACATTTTACATATCCGCCGTAATGTTTTGCTCATAAAAATAGCAAAATGAATGGGAAATAACGAGTAGGAAGCTACAGGAGCTATTGTGACTTATGAACAACAAACTTGGAGCTACAGCAGTTGACTGCTAAACTTTTGTCCTCTGAAAAATGTGCCTGGTGTTACATGGAAAGGATGATCTGGCTACAAAAAAATGTTTCGCTTTTAAACATTTGATCATGTGTGGTGTCACTTTTCGTTTTGGTTCGGCACGTTTAAAAAAAAAAGAAAAAGATAAGAAAATCTGCATTATCTGCATGGCTAGATATATTAAAGGGTGAAATGACCCCTGGACTATTTCAGTTGGGTCATAGATGACCTCTAATAACTTTTAAATAAACAATAGATAGAAAATAATCATTTGCATTTCCAACGAGATATTAAATACATACTTCCAAACAAAACAAAGTCCAAAAACAGAACAGTGCAATCAAAATAACATGAAAAATGATATTGTGTATAAAACTGGATTCTCTGACCTAGCGAGAGCATCTCTTGCAAATCTTAACACAAAGATCACTTTTCACCACAGGCTTGATTTTATCTTTACTGTTTTTCCTCTTTTGCACAAGGTCAGATTTCTCCAGTGGTGAAAGATGAAACTAGTGCTATAAGAGAACATCTCTATCCCTGTGCTGCTGATTGTTAGAACTGAGTGTGTATGAGTAGGAGCCCACGCCAACCCAAAGGGCCAGTCGGCTAACGCGGGCTTGGAGCGGGAGTTTCCAGATCCCGGTCGGCCTCGCCCTCTTCCTGGCCAGAGTATGAGCTCAGGGCATCCCACAGCAGGCTCGGACGCTCACAGTGGTGGTGACACCTCCAGTGCTCCATGACCAGCTCTTTAGTGTCTAGCACCTCACTGCAAAGCACACAGTTAAAAACTGCGCCTGTGGCAAGAATGCCGAGGCCTCCGCTGCTTTCTGGTGATGGGAGGACCCCGCTGTCATCTCCTTCCCTTCCTCGGTGGTGGGACATGATGTGCTTCTTAAGCTTGGAGAAAGAAAAGAATTCTTCGTCGCAGCTTCCACACTTGACCAGATTGCGCTTCTCATTTAACTGTCGCCAGTAGTGGGCAGCGTGCTTTACCAGTTCGTTCTCAGCCTCACGGCCTCCCCGTGGGGGTTGGCCCTCACAGAGTTGAATGTGGACCTCCTCCCCGTGCACATATCGCAAATGCATCTTCATGTCTGCAAAGGTGGGAGTGATTGCCTGACAGCGGCCACATTTGATCTGCAGCTCCACAGGATCTTCACAATCCTGTTCATCTGATGGTTCCGGCAAGCTGCCCCTGCAGAGAAATAAAAGGAATAAGGTGCAGTCAGTCAGTATCTTTGGCTGTTTAATTCCCCTTGCCAGAAGTTAAAGATCAAAAATGAGGTTGCAGCATATATTCATTAGTTATCTCAATCGCTAATAATCTTACCCCTCTACAAGCACGTCTTCCTCATGATGACTGACTGACGGCTCCACGGTTAGCACCACCTTATGGACCTCTCTCAGATGACTGAAGTATACCCCAACATATCCAAAGGCCTTTTCGCAGAACTCGCAGGATAGAGAACGACGTGGCCGTACCTCAGAGTGATGAAGCTTCTTGTGGGTGCTCAGGCTGCTTGAGTGAGCGTACGTCTTGCGGCAGACGGGGCAGATGTGCGGCCGATTGTTGGCGTGACTGTTCATGTGGCTCTGAAGGTGATGCTTGAATTTGAAGCAGCGGCTGCAGGTGGGGCAGCGGTGGGGCGGTCGGCTTCCTATGAACACTCTAGGATGGGCGCCTCCTCTGAGGTGGAGGGTTACCGGGGTTGGCTGAGGTGGACAGTCCAATGCTTTTGTTGTGGTAGAGGTGGGGAGCTGATGACCAAGTATGAGCTCTTGTTCTTGGCCATCTGGCGTAATAGCAGGCAGGCTAACCAACTGGGGAACTGTCTCCATCACCAACATGGGCTTGGGTCGAATGCTGCGGTATTTTTTTGAAATATCAACTTCCTTTTGTTTGGATCCTGAAACAACTGCCAGCTGTTTCTCCGGGACCCTTCTACGGAAGAAGGATAAAGACCTTTTCTTGCGGGCTTCAAAAGCTAAGATGTCTTCCATTGTTTTTCTCTTCCTTCCTCTCTTCTTGCCAGGTGGCTTCTGGAGTGTTCCTACAACAGGCATTAATGTGGGCTGGGCCTGAGGCTCTAGACTGGAGTTAGGCACCCGGTTGTGACTCAAGGTTTCAGCTGTCTCGTGGGACTTGGATGTAGAATCTAAACGGCTGGTGAGTCCTTTCAGGCCAGGTAAACTTTTCTTTTCTGGAGATAAATTATTGAGCTTGGCAGCTGGGATGAGGGTGCTCTTCATTTTAGAGTAGGGCAAAATGGGTAATTTCCCCTTAGGTGGGGATGGGATAATCTGGACTGCTTTACTGAAGATAGCTGGAGAAAGGACAGTGATACTGCCCTGGGTCTGGGCTGCAGCCAGCTTAGATTGGCACACTCTCACTGTAGTCTTATTGTCCTCCGGTGATTTGCTTTGGGAGCTTTTGATGGAAGCAGGGGGGTACTGCAGGTTCTGAATGAGACCAGTGGTGGTAGGTCGTTCTGAGCCATCTGGTACTCGCTCCAACTGAGAACCCGGGTAGAGGACAGCATTATCTGGTAGAAGAGCAGTAACAGAGATGTCAGAGGAGGCTGGGTCTATTAGAATTAGCTGCTCTGAAGGCTCTTCTTTGGGCACAAGGGTTTCCTTTGTGTGCTTGGTCTCTTGTAGATTCTTCTTAATAGCTGTTGATGCTCCACAACCCACTGATTTGGTCTGTGCTGAGTCAGAAACTCTGGAGGCTGTTTTCACCCTGGCAGGTAGTGGAGGAGATTTGACCTTATCTGTGGTCCCCTTGCTCCTCATTGGCTGGTATCTGGGAATGGGTAGTTTAAGGTTCTTCTGATGCTGCGGCGACTGAGAAGAAACAGAAGGTGGGAGCGCCACCAGGGAGAATGTGCCATCTTGACCTGCTATTTGCATGAGTGCATAGTTTTGGGTGGGCACAATGATGGACTTGGGGCTTGAGGCAGTGGTAGCCTCAGGCAGAGCAGATGAGGGCTGACAGGACTGGACCGCAGGGGAAGGAGAGGGCACCACAGCCGGGGCCTTGGGGGCAATGCTCCGAAACTGAAGGCTCTTCATCTGATGGTCTGCAGTCACTACCAACTGAAACACAAGCATAAAAAACATGCATATAAGTTCATGCGCTGAGGGCCTTCAGCTTTTCCAGTCTTAAATCCCCCTTAAACCCCGAACAGGCAACCCATCAGCTAGCCTGCATGCTGATGCTCTGACAGGAACAGCCAATAACGAACATCAAGGCCAAGACGTCCTGATCGTATTTACAAATGCAGATATACTTTAAAGATCTCATAAAAACTAAATCATTTTCCTACTTCTACATGAAATACTTACCAGCATGCTGCCAAAATGTGCATTGCTGGTGACTAGAACTTGAACTAACAGTCCTTACAAGTATCACATTTATAAACAAAGACTTCTTTGCTTTGTGTCGAGGTGTTCATCAGTGACTTCAAGTATTGTAAATCTTGCCCCGTGAATGCAGATTTTGTCTATGAACGAGGCAAGATTTTTCCACATGAACAATGAAAGTCAACGCTGCAACACGTAGCACATGCGCAGGCTTAAACTGGTTTGGTCTACAGACGGCAACAAGATGTGGTCAGAATGGGCGGGAGATATATTTTGGATGCATTTTTTACTCCTGATGCAAGAACAATTTTCAGAAGCCAAAATTTAAGTATTCTCACTGCACTGTTAGTGAGAACTGGTTAGAGTTCATGTCATTGTGGTTGATGGTTCGGACCTTAATATAAATGCAACCCCTCTGCATACGGTCTCCTTTTCTTTCTTTTTTTTTGTGGTGTCGCTACTTTGCAACCCAAGCAAGACAGCAGCAACGTGCAGTGTGTAAAATGCAGGCATATGCACAAGTGTGACAAGCTGTCCTATTACCCATGTCTCTCTAGACCCAAACAGCAGACTCTCTCTCCCCCAGGCTAAGGACAGAGTGCCCCCTTTGATATGGGCTCAGCATGTAGTCAAGGTACATGCTGAGGATCTGTGGTGAAGGGACTCCTTTTACCCCCCCCCCTCACTTCCTGTAAGGATCAGTCAATGGAGCGTGAAAGCTGCTCCCTACTCAACCTGGCCAAAGGCAACGAGGATGTCCCTGAAAAAAAAAGACCTGGGTTTATTTTATCATCCCTTGTTCACAAATAACAATTCATGGTAGCCCAGTGGGGATGAGGCTTTGCACTCCGTGTTTCACCTTTCTGACTATGTTGATACAGTGGGGGAAACTATAACCTCAGAGTGAGGTTTTAAGCAAGTCTTTATTATCTCAATCTACCATAGCGTTTCCATCCATCAATCAAAAGCCACAGGTATGGTTTTAAAAACAAAGGCAGAATTCCCTTCATTTATATCAATACTCTATCTTTATATCAAAAGCAGGGACAGATTACACTGGAATGCTTCAAAAGGCCTAACTGTAAACAGACTCTGGGATTTCAATTTCACATTATAACCTGAACCTTAATAGCACCGTTTGATACAGGCAATGTTCCAGCTCCACTCTGTAATACCAAACAGCATAAAGTGCAACAATCTGGAGGTGTTACAAAAGGCAAATATTTAAACAAAATCATTTCTCCATACAAAACCCCCTGCCTGCTTTCACGCTCAAAGCCCTGCACACTCAAAAGGAGGAGAGGAAAAGAAAAACGGCAAAGGGCATATTGTTTAACAGCTGGAAGTGTTTCTGTGCACAGATTATTTATACAGTACCCCTACCGCATTACGACTCCATAAAGCTGGAGATATTCCTCCTCTGTGTGGATAGTTGATTCCAATTTGACTGTGACTTTGGCAGAACACAGAGTGGAATAAAACTGTGGGATGTGCGTTCCTCTGGGTGCTTTATGTAGGTATAAAAAGTGAGAGAATGGACTTGAGGCAATACCTGTTGATTAATTCTGCAATGTGTACATTAATTAAGTTTCTATCTGTGGTGTTATTGCGTTGCTGTGTTTTATAAGACCATATTCACTGCAGGAGGAAGAAGTAGGAACAGAAAGAAAGGGGGAAACTTCCTCATGATTTTTGTTCAGGGAATTTATCCTTGGGCAACTTTGTACACAAAGAAAGGAGAAGGCTCAACCTATGTAGGCAGCTGAAGCACAACTGCACAGTCACTAGGCAAACAGAGCAGCGCCAGCGGTGGGAGATCAGGAGGGTTATGAAAACTGTCCTGGTGTAAGATGGCTCCAGTGAGTCGAGCTGAAAGTTGATGACCACAGTTTATCTTCATAAGCTTAAAACAGTATAAATTTACACTCTAAAAATTACCTATCCAAAGCCTGAAAACTGAATACCTACCTAACGATCAGCCACCTGATCGTTAGCTAGGTATATATGAATGTTTTCCAGAGCTGCCATTGTCACTTAGCATGCTAACTTCCATTCATTTGTGGGACTCGTTTTAGCTCATTTCAGGATTTAATCTCTGACTGTTTCTTTTGTCCAGACTCCCTCTCCACATCGGTCCCTCCCTGAGCCTTGTTCTGCTGGAGGTTTCTTCCTGTTAAAAGGGGAGTTTTTCCTCCCCACTGTCACCAATTGCTTGCTCGTATGGGATGATCTAATTGTTGAAGTTTCCTCTGTATTATTATAGTGTCTTTAACTTACAATATAAAGCATCTGGAGGCCATGATAAAACCATATTAAACTGAACTGAATGTGCTGTTATCACAATTAAGACTTGTTCTCATTTTAAGAGGCCCTAAAGACAACACTTTAAAAAACACTTTCGGGCCACATCTGCTAATTCACTTCACTGAATGGGTCAATGACACAACACAGACTGCTTTACTGTTGCACAGAAGGCAATACAGATATATGTCAAAGTGCTACTTTTAAACTTCCAGCTATTTTTGTAACCCTTCTACAGTTTGCTAATTTCCCTCCATGTGCTCATAATTTGATTCAGGTCTCAGTATGTGCCTCTATCTACATAACCTGCATTTTAAAAACTCACTTCTTCCACTTCAGGCACATTGGAGAGGGAAGAGACAAAAATGAGAATGAGAAAGAGGAAGGAGTGGGCAAGGGTTTGATTTCTTGTTGATGTAACAGCAGCGGTCAACTTGCCCTGTCATCATTCTCTATTCTCCCCAGAAGGTTATTTTGGTGTTCAAACACAAAAAGACACCAAATGAACAGAAATCAAGAGCAACGGTTGTTTAAAAGCTAGACCTGCAGCCCTTTGCAATGTCCAGTTACAATCAAGCACAAGCTATAATAAAATCCAGCTACTGTAACTAGAATTTTTAATAGTTTTGTTGTTTTCTGTTTCACAGGTCAAAGCATTTCAAGGCTCAACATCTGATCAAAGAACACAACAGAATGCAATGTCATTTTCAGTAGACACACAAATGATAGCCAAAGCTTTCAGATACCTTTAGTTGTTATTTTACACATGACAGGATGATGCTGGCACCAGCGTACTTAACCAAATATCCCATTAGGCCCAGTGATGAGCAATATCTGGATCCTGCAAGATTTTGTCTGTCCACTCTAGGTCTGATCAGCTATGAGTTTTTGAGATGGCTGCTCTGCTTACAGTTTCTCCAGACTAGTGGAGCTCTGCAACAAATGGAGATGGTGTTTATTGACCATTTTATTGGTGAAAGCCTTTTTCAATCTAGTTACATCACTTTGTTTGGCCATCTGCCTTGGATCTTTGAGGGATGATTAGAAAAATCCTAACAGAAAGATGGATCTTAATTCAAGGATGGTCCTGCTACGTGCCCACTCTTTGTCTACGTATAGAGAATGGATAAACTCCAACAAAGCACAGGCTACAGAAGTGCACTTATGTGCAGTCCTCCAAAAAAAAGGAAGGAAAAAGGAGGGGTTGGGTGATGATGCCATATGTAAATTGGAAAGATAATATTTTTTAATGTGTTATTTTTTTGGGCCTTTCATTTTTATAGACAGTGGAGAGTGGACAGGAAAGTCGTGGAAGATGCACAGCAGAGGGCTTTGGATCGGTCGCTCCATTTCACCTTTGCGCCATGTTTGCCTGCTAATCGTGTGACCTAAGCTAGCATCAATGTAAACCAGACTCACCTCAGTAAAGCTCAGATTAGTGTGCCGTGACAAAGATTGCTCATTAAATAAAATTCACAGTAATTACAAAGAAGTCTTTGCTTTGTAAATGTGATTTATTGTGTGCAGAAAAATAAGCAAGAAGTGCATTTAATTCATAAAACGTGAAGGGCCTGTGAACACTTTCCAAAATAACTCATCCACACACTGATGGCCGACATGCTCCCGTAAAGAAAAATGTCTTCGAATGCGAACCCCATTCACCTTAACTGTTACGCAGCTTTGACTCGAGGGGGCATAACACAACAACGCTAAGAGACAAATGTGCAAGCAGGTCACTGATGCTACTCAAACTGCTGCTGGATTCAAAACGCCAACTGCTCCGATCTGACTGGGGTCAGAGGTCACTGCTAGGGTGATGCAGAAATCTGGTTTCTGGAGAGAATGTAAGAAACTAAGGAAGAAAGAAGAAAAACGATAGTGTGTGTGTGAGAAAGAGGGGGGTTGCTCCACAGAGACAGATTATCAGGTAAAGCCAGAGGGGTGAGAGGTGAGGATCTGGTGTTTATGCTGGAAACAGGTCAGGGGTGAGCAGCAGGGCAGAGTGGGGACGGGCCAGGCATCCACCTGGAATGGAATGACATGGTATGAACTGCAGACGCTTTACTCACACACACAAAAACGTCAGCTCACGCTCTCACAGCTGAACGTTGGTCACATGAAGATCTGGTCCAGCCAAGACCGACTGGCCGACCAGCCAAAACAACCCACCTATTGTTAGGCAGTAATGCAATTTAGTGAGAGCTGAAAGCGCCACTTTGTTCAGTGTCAAAACATGAAGAGCACCGTGTTTGGGGAGCATCCCCGATGCGTTCTGTGATTCTGCTTTGTCTCGCTTTTAGCCAAACAACTACTGTTTAAACTGCAGAGTGCAGCATTTTGCTTCCTATCTATGAAGGCGGTGGCAAGGACCCAAACATAACAACAACCACATCTCGAAAAAAGAAAAAAAAAAACCATTAAAAAAACCCAAT